ACGGCATTGAGGGCCGTCATGTAGTGGGAACCAATCCTCCCGAGGACAGCAGGAATGAGTCCAGCAGTTAGGAGAGTCACAAATATCAAATTCTAAATGTCTACAAACAGCGTAGTCAACAAGGAGGCGGAATAATTACACTGACAGCTGCAATCAACGAAGGACGAGTCTTGGAGAGAATAAGAGACCAGACGAGGAATGGCTTTCTGCGGACATCCGAAAGGTAATGGAGGAGAGATGGTGAAGCAGACGATGGGCTAGTGAGAAGATGGATAAAGGATGGAGAAGCCAAGTGCAATCTACAACACAGTGAAGAAAGAAGTGCAGAAGAGTGCTAGTACAGGCAAAAGGAAATTCTACTATGCACTGGAAACTGAAGCTGAACAGGCCTCAGGAAGGAGAGACCTCTGATCATCACACCGGACAACTAATTGCCTATCAGACAAGATTAAATGCAAGTGAGACCAATGAAAGATATTGAGGGGAATCTGATTACTACGGACGATAAACAAAGAAAACAACGGCCGATCACTTCAAAGGACCCTTGTATCGACCATCACCTGCAACTCGCCCAGAAATATCACCAACAGCATGCACAGAACTGTCTGCCAGTGGACACCGATCCTCCAGCAGGAGCAGAAGTCTTGAATGCGATAAAGCTACTGAAGACCAAGAAGTCAACAGGACCAGACTGAATTCCCCCAGAAGCACTGAAGATGTGCTGAGAGACTACGACGGACATGCCGATGCAACTATTGCAAAAAATTTTGGAAGGAAGGAAAGGTGCATACTGATTGGGGGAAAGGCTAGATTGTCAAACAACCAAAGAAGTACTGTAGGGGATCAAAGAAGTTCGTCAGCTCAACCGAACTTCAGCGGTTTCATTGTCAGCGATCAATTTTTTCTGAGTGGATTCCCCTCAGTATCTTTCATTGGTCTCACTTGTATTTAACCTTGTTTGATCGGCAATTAGTCGTTCGGTGTGATAATCAAAGGTCTCTCCTTCCTGACGCCTGTTCAACTTCAGTTTCCAGTGCATAGTAGAATTTCCTTACGCCTGTACTAGCACTCTTCTGCACTTCCTTCTTCACTGTGTTGTAGATTGCACTTGGCTTCTCCATCCTTTGTCCATCTTCTCACTAGCCCATCGTCTGCTTCACCATCTCTCCTCCATAAACCTTAGGATGTCCGCAGAAAGACATTCCTCGTCTTGTCTCTTATTCTTTCCAAGAATATCACTGCAGGTTCCCTCAAAAATCATTTTCATAGAGTTTTAGCGCTCTTGCATGTAGGTTTCCTCGGTGATGTCACATAATTCTCAGGCTTAACTGTGATGGGTGCAGCGAAGGTGTCTTTTCTAGCCTCCTACATAGGTTTGTGGATGTCTAGCTTGGATTATGGTCCATCTCCAGCGTCTATGGAGTATTCCAGCTTGATCTTGAGTGTTATTTCTCTTGAATTATGTTACAGGTACACACCTCCTACTGTTCTTTGTCATTCTTCTGCTTACCTTAACAGATGTGGTACAGACTGAGTGGGCACTCGTTGGGGTCACACACTGGTTCTGACTAGTTTTCATTTGAAAAAGTCCAAAGTGTTATCCCTGTATTTAACTGTGATCGTGCGGTCATAGCGTTTTATCTGTTTTCTTGAGAGCAGTTAGGCTGGATGCTGTGCGCCCCTTTCTGCGCTGAAGGAATGCCGACTACCCAGGAATGCTCGGACTCTTGCCTGGCTGAGAATTGTCGACAGATTTGGCTGAGCTATTAGCAGAGGAACTTTGGAAACGGTGATAGTGACCATTCACACAGCAATCTAAGATATTGTCACTCCAGTTATACTACTAACTAGGAAGCGATCCACATGGCTTTTGAAAGGCATGCAGCGTATTCTGCAAGCATAGAATGGTTGGTCTACATGGCGACTCTCCGGTAGACAGACTGACCTCAAAGAATGCCTGGAAATCGGTAAGCGACTTAAAATGAGGGTATGGACTGACGGGAGTTTATTTCAAGCAAATCACTGCCAGCAAATTCTTGGTGAACCCCAAAAACCCACGACGATTCATATCAGGAAGACAAACTATCAGCTAGAGGGTATGCACCTTAGGTGGTCAAAGTGGCCAGTATCTCGCTAGTTTGGGGATGGCGAAAACATTCAGTTCAGCCTTTGGCAGACAGCTAAATAGCAGTGGGAATCACCTCTATAAGCCATAGTAATTTTACTGCTAACTCACAAAGAGAACACCCAATGGGTACACTTGAGATAAACCCCGCAGTGGTAGTAGGAAAGTTGCTGAAACCCACCTCTGGAAAGTCCTCGGGTTGTGACGGTATTCAGTCATCCGTTCTGAAACACTGCACTGAAACTATGTGCAGGCCCTTCCGTGACCTGTTCTAACACTCCATGTATTCAGGGGAACTGTCAGAGAAGAGGAAGAGAGCCATTCTTTCTCCTATCTTCAAGGGCGGGGACTGGTGAAATGCCATGTGTTACAGACCATTTGCGCTACTACCAGTGGTATCGACAATACTTGAAAGTCGGATTGATGATCACATCAGCAACATCTCGATAGGACTAACATTCGCCATGGAGAACAAGATAGTTTCAGGAGAGGTAGATTCTATGTGACAAGCCTACTACCAGTGCGGAGTGATTATGTGTCACGCCGGGACATGAATGTTCCAGTTCATTTGATCTTCCTCAATCTAGCGAAGCCAACTGATATAGTTCACCATGACTTTCTCCTACACGAAATAAGTCAGACGGGTATTGGTGACCCGCTATTGTCATGCTTGGAGGACTACCTAGACGAAAAGGAGTTCTGCAACAAGGTCAATCGCGTTCGATTATCCTGGTCTCGAGAACCAGTTAGTTAGGCTGCTTGGGTAACTTCGAGCTCGCTTCCAGCTGTAACAACAGAAGACAAGGGCCAGGCAACAGATCGTTTATTTAGGAAATCAACACATTTATAGATTTTCATGTACATTATTATAGATTATTGTAAGCAAACAAACACAGTCTTCTGATTGGTGGTTTCTCGCTGAACGTTAATCTTTCATCTCTTTGTGGCCGTTTATTGAAGTTCAGATTATCTATCTGCAAATTGTATCCGCCTACGCAAAGTCTGCTGTGATTGGTTGTTGAGTCGGTCTTTTTTTTCATGACCAATATTGGGGACGTAAACATTGACGTAAATTACTGTCTACCACTTTTGGCTAGCAGCCAGCTCTCACCACACAGCTAATACAGGCTAGAACTACCGCTCACGGCTGTTGTGTGGCCACATATCCTGCTAAACCTAAGCCCTGGCCACAATACCTGCTGAATCTTTAGCGTGGCCAGCCTAACCTGGCGGCCTGGCTACCTTAAACACTGCCTCAACTGGAGAAGGGGGAACACAACACTTATGGCTGCTGAGAACTTTATATATTCGCAATGATTTGAAGAGAGTGCAGAGACTTACAATCACACCACAACGAGGCTGTCAAGCCCTTATCGTTTGAAAAACCAGTAGTCCACTTTGTGTTTCAATCCGCACAGATAAATAGACTGATCGTTGGGGATTTGAATGATTCGACGAAATTTTCCCCTCAGCTTGTGTACAGTTTGACATCGGAAGTATCAAAGAATTGTATCCCTGGGTCACTGAAATTTTCGACTTTTAGCAATAACCTGCAATACTGTTTAAACTGCCCAGCTATTTTCCCCGCTGCCAATGTGAAGATTAGGAGATTAATGAGGTTCTCCGAAGACTCAGATAGGCTACAGGGAGGCCTAAAAATTCTGGAAATGTGGGCACTGGTCGGTATTACGACTTTCAACCTGGAAAAATGCAGAGTAGTGCAACTGCGCGCTTGTGGGATTCACAAGGTAAGTTACTCCCTGTATAACGTCAGGGCGTGGCTTAAGTCCAGTTCTAACGGAAAAAATAGACACAAGCGTGGATTACACGTGTGACGTAGCGAGGTTATATGGTCATTCCTGAGCTTTTTCCAAAGTTGTACAAAACACACATAAGACCAAACATTGAAGTGCACTATAGCATTAATTTCCCGTTACTCACAAGGGACATCAATCTTTTGGAAAGGGTCCAAAGATGGGCAGTTAAAGGGGTGATGGGTCTCCGAAATAAACCATATGACGAGCGGCTGGAAAAATGAGGTCTTTTCGCAACTATTCCATTCTGTATCACAGGTACTGTTTTGGAATAAAGCAAATTATTACTATTATTATTATTAACTAGCTCCGGTCGGCTTAGGGGTGACTTAATTACTGCCTATAAGATTACATATGACCAGAATCACCCAAACAAAGGTATTCTGCCATCAAGTAAATATGTGATTCTTCGTGGCAGTCTAAGAGGTATAAAACATCAGGGAGTGAAGACTCGAGTAGGTTCCCATCTCTTTTCACTTCGAGTTTTCGCCCTTGGAACTCCTTCCCAGCAGATGTGGCCACTGCACCGAACGTAGAAAGCTATTAAGTAGAGGCTGGACAATCACACAGCCACACACGGTCTGTGTCCAACTACTTATCCCCTTAGAACCCACACACTACTTATTGGCATAAACCCAAATTCATCTTTTTACTACTACCCATTCACCCTTGTCCTACTCCATTCATTCATCCACATATATGTTTCAAATTTCAAATGTTCGTTTTTCTTTTTCTTTAAATCCACATAATCTATACTAATTATGCCTGTTAGTCATTATTATTTTTGCTACTCTCAAGTAAACCGGACGACTAATTGTTAAAAGGATCAACTCTGTTCACAGCAGCGACACAGTCTTAACAAACCACAGACTACAAACACTTGCAACCTATCCATACACCACTTCCCTTGGAGTCAACCAAGCTACGACAGTCGAGTGCTGGAACGCATCATAAAGAAGTTTATCGAATACCAGGAACCCCTACCTTGTAACTAGGAAGTGAGCACAAATAAATCAATTTGTTTTACACTAGATCGTAAAAACGACATTGGATATTGGACACTGGGACGACCTTGGCTTCTGGGTTAAAATTAAGCTTCATGCTTGCTTGCTGCAGTTCAGATGAAGTTGTCAGATTTAAAAATAAATCGCAAGCCACTTGACAGATCTAAGACGAAAGAAAGTAAGGAATACTAACACTCTTATGGATTAGTAATATCAAAGGTTTCTAGCTTCCTAGAGGAGTCTAAGAACACTGAGGCGGAATGCGTTGAGGGTGAAGCGGAAGACGGACGATACATCGAATTGGTATGTGAATAGTTGAAAATCATCACATATAGGCAAGCCTAAATTTTAGTGGCACAGGCAAACGACCAGTCAAATGACTCTGCACAACTAAGCAGAAATATTTGTGACAATGTCATTCCCTTTAAGGGAATCCAAATAGTTCCTTGACTGTCCAGGGTCGTTTGGTTGTTCGTTTGCAAGGGCCGCTACAATTTAGCCTAGGTCACATTTATTTTGGGGGATTAATATTGAAAGCTGAGACATGTTTGAATGTTAAGTTAATCTTTTAGTAATCTTCCCCAAACCTTACTTTTTGAGGAAGATTTTTATTCTGGGGTCCATTGACTTATTTGTGAAGTTGTTTGTCCTTTAATATTTTGAGTGGAGACGTAGAAATTTATCACAATCGAAGGCAACTCAGTAGGTAAAATTCCAAATATTGGGCTATCTTCAACACCCTATTGGTTAACATTGTGGTATTTTTGGGAGTTTACGGGATTTGTATGCATTTCTCCAGGTTTTCACGCTAATCTGCCCCTAAATTACCCTCAAATTTTTACTCGGAACTGTAGCAGTAGTCTTCTTGGATAGACTCTGAGTAGTTATTACTCAGACTAATTTACCTGTGAGGACCTGACCGAAAACCTTAGCTTTCACCTCTGCGAAATGTTAGTTCCAAACTTTTCGATCCTAAGATCGTCTGGGGTCTTTATGCTTCTCCTAGAGGCAACCATTTCCAAGGTGTCGTGTTGTTTTGCCTCAAACCATGTGTCTGTTCAGCAGGTTCACTGGCAGGTCTATTTCGGTTAGCTTTTTAGCGCACTAAACGAAGATAACTCGTCAGTGATAATTAGTGTATTAGACCTTAGTCTGTGAACTGTTAATCTGTATGATATTTAGGAAGCAGTAAACAATAATGGCTATGAGTTTCGGAAAAGTGGGATTAATAATGAAGGTTTTATCAATAAGTGGCATAAAAACCAAGTGTCTTGGTTACGAATACTCTGAAACAAACATTTTTGAACTTATCATAATATTGCCGTAAACATTAGGGACGACTAAATTCTTTTATATTATACTGCTGTATTTTATCAGTGCTGCAATTTAACCTGAGGTAGCTTAGGTTAGTTGCGAATACTTTAAAATGACAAAATGCTGAAACTCCGAACCTTATACGAAGAAAGTTATCTGCAGTAAAGAACTTCCTCGGTTCTCACTTATACCGTTATTTTCCCTAGGAAGGCATAAATAATTTTATATGAGATAGGTTTAGAATGTATAGGAGACCCACTGTTTATATATGACGAGGTGATGGCGGCTTAGTGGTATGTTTTCGTCCTATCGCAACTTTGGTGTACACGACTACAGCTCTGTCTGGCAGCTGAAAGCCAGCTGATAGGTTTTTATCGACTCTGATTGCTATCTTGTTCTCAAATGTTAGTCAGGGCCTACATTGTGCTCAAAGCACGTTCCACTTGGTTCTTTTTGTCATGCTTTGAAAAATGATGTTTACGAACGCGTTCGCATTAGATGGTCTAAGTGTGCCCGTGAGCGTTAGAAATGTTTTCAAAATACTCTGCATATTATTGTATTCTAATAACTCATGTGGTCTGATCACTTAGTAAAAAATCAAGATGACAACAGGAAAGTTGAAACGTAAAGTGCCAGGTTTAAAGACAGAACGTCATGTAATACTCGCCGATGTATCAAAGAGCCTTGTCAGTATTTTGTTGTTGAGTATTTTCAGTAAATTTACGGAATAGATACCTAAGACATTCCTGCTGCTATTCACTTAGAATGGAAATAGTATACTTGTAATAAAAGTCAAGGTAATGGAGTGCTTCTAATCATTATTTATATCTGACAATATGTCTGATATTCACGAAATGCTTCACTGAGTCGAAGTCACAGGTCTTGCGTTTTCTAGTTCGTATTCGGGTCTTGAGGTATTGCATTTTTGAATTGGTCATTATTTATTTTATTCAGAGAAATTGTCATCGTAAAGCATGACCTGTAGTCAGCCAAAATGTTAATGTATGTGCTTTGTTTTACATATGAGTAATGGTGATGTGAAAAATCCAGTCTAATTAAGGTTTTATGTTAACTACTAACACAGATCTTTCTTACAAATAACGTTGATTTTACTAAATAATTTATTCATTATAAGGCTTATTTGTTCGCGAAGTGATGAAGTGAATTTGATTGATGACACTGAGCTAAACTTGATCCTCCATGTAGAACTTTGCACAAAAAGTTCACCAATTCAAGCGGCTACACTTCGCTAAAGTACACTTATGGGCCGAGAAAATAATCGTGAAAGTACAATAAACGAATATATGAGACTTTCAGGGTCTGGGTGATCGAAAGGAGGATAGGTATCTCTACTATTGAGAACGATTTTATGCCACCTCACCAAATATCTCCAACCATTTATTCTTAGCGTCTTGGGGATCCTAGCCTAGGAGTTTATACTTCCCAGCGTATCTCAAACCCCAATAATCGAAGATTCTATGAATTGATGCCACTTTCTGGAATAATTTCCCCTAACTCTTCCTTAACCCAATCCAATGTCATCTGGGATTCCTCGACGAAGAAGTCGATGACTCCAATATGCATGACCCATTTAGTAGCCGTTTCAATTGATGCCCCTTCACAACTTCATTAGTTGCTCTTCCCATCTTTGCTAACAGTTTACACGTAAGCTTAAGATGCTCAGAAAACTGAATTTTGTCTGCATCTTCATCTTGAAGGGGTTCTATCATCTGTATGATCTAGATTGACGAGACTTCCCTGGTAAGAAGACAATCCTTAAGACGTCATGGTCAATATTATTCGCAACCATTGTTACGCGTAAGATGGAATTAAACGCATGTGATAACATTTGGCATGCCTGACTTAAACCATTGGTTTTCCTTACCGTAATTGCCAACTCTCATGGCTGCATGAGATCGAGTAGAGCACCTTGATCAGTATGATACACTTTATTGACACTCCTTTGACAGCCATCGATAGAGTCGAACTCCGCCTTCACGTCAAGAAATATTGGCAAGTATTGGACACTAGTAAGTATACCAATGTTCCAGAGCCTGTTGGAAACCAAAGGTGTGATCAGTGCACCTTCTTTCAAACCTAGAGCCTTCCTGGGTTACTCGGTTTTTTTTCCCAATAGCCACTTGGTCTTCTCAGGACTATAGAACCAAGAATCGGTTGACGATAATACATTCTTAAATAAGGATTACATTTTTTTATTATTGAGTTCTTATGTGGTTAGGTCACATTCTTTTCACTAATTACGTTCATAATAAGCTCATTTTACTTTCTAGAATCTCCTGATACCCACTTCAAGTGCAAATGAAGAATCGTTGAGTCTTCCAGTTAACTTTTCGGGTTCATCTACAGAATGTGATGATTCATCTTCCGAATCAGAAAATGACTTACATGAAATAACTATACAGTCTACAGGCAAACTTAATACATCGATTCCAACTCCTCCTTCTCGTAAATCTGCTAAGCTAATTGAAGAACTTGAACCCAATTGTACAGATGACTGTGATAATAAAAAATAATTTTTAAAATTATTGTTTTTTTAAGATTTAATTTGTCAGGATTAAATAATAGTTGGCGTCGGTGACACAGAGCCAAATGTGGTACGGGTTTTGATCGCTGACCGATACACTCCTTTACCTTGCTAAGCCAGTAATAAAGGACTGGTAAAGAGAGAAAGCTGGACATTAGGCTGGCAACCTCATCCCATAGAAATAAACACCACTGCTACAGAAACTTCAAGCCTCTAGCTTTAAGCCCTATGTACAGGAATAAAAAAAAATAGTCGTGTAGCTCGTCCTGCTAGTTGCGTCCGAATTGTGACAATAGTTTGTCGACCAGAAATAGTCATTAGTTCAGATTTTTACTTATTTTGTTAACGCTCGAAAAATCTCTGGCCTTACTCCAGTCAACCGATAAATTGTAGTCAATAGCATATTTCTGCTGCATTGTATGAATTATAGAGTTTTTTTATAATATCTTTTTGAAAACCTTTCAGTAACTACCATCATAGAACTTGGTATCGCTACACTTCAAGTTATGCACTGCGCAGCAGTTCTCACCGTTGTCCTTTATGACTGTGAGACATATCTATCGAAAGCAGAAGACATGATAAGGCCAGCTGTCTTTGATCATAGGTGTCTGCGTTAAGTGTTAGGTGAAGAGGGAAAGTCTATCGACGAAGTTATAAGGGTGGACTGTTTGAGATGCCTAGGACATATGTCACGCATGCATTGCCAGCTATCGCCTTCCTCTAAGGGAAATGTTAGTCGACATAGGATTATATTGGAAAAGAGCTAGTAATGGCCAAACGAAACCATGGGATCAGTCTATGAAATCTCTAACAGTTAGTTTGAACCAGTCACGTAGACTGCTTGGCTAGCGGGATTCTTTGGGACTTGGAGAACCAATGTCTTGAGACAATTGGTGATATTGCTCGAACTTGTTCTCAATCATTCAGATGCACTCGCTCTTTGTGATATGCCGTATCCAATATATTCTATTTGTTATTTTCCATATTAGTAGTCTTTCTCCATGACATTTCTGCTTATTATCGTTCTCTTGAATCTCCTTTTTTATGTCTTTTGTCTTCCTTTGTGTGCTGTATGGTGTGTGAATTTGAACTGCTGCACTTCTGTGTGAATTCTTGTATTGGAACCAGTCAGTCAGTCACACATCAGGGACAAAATAATTAAAAGGCGAAAAGTTAGATAACAAAGAGGTCGAAAAAAAGTTTTAATGCTAGGAAGAAAAGATGAGACAGATAGACAGTGTGGAATGTGATATCTCAGTTAGTCTGATAATGTTGTGCGATTGCTGTCGATCCCCAGGTTTAATAATTCGTGTCTCTAACCACAGAGTTTGGTGGAAGATTTTGGTGAGTGCCTAAAGCATCAGTCAGTACTACTTATCTATTTACTTATCCACATATCGCTTACCAATTAACTAGTCCTACTTTGAACAATACATCACGGTAAGTGGTGCACAAAATAAGGAAAAATTACTGCATAATTGTTATTGGCTTCAATTTCTAAACATGTTTGACCGTTCATTTTCGGGATCCTTTAAACCATAACCACTAGATCCTGACTCAATACACCTGTCCTTCATCCCATATAGCCATGTTGCAGAGCCGTACCACCTTTTTCTTTTGACCAGTCTTGGAACTGTCAGACAGTAAACAATATAGGATACAATGCATTCACGAGTTATTGGTGACGACTTCCACTTTATTCAAACACCTGCCACTGAATTTTATAATGGTTTACTTGGTGTCGCTATTAAGATTCAATCATATGGACTGGGGAAAGTTATCAAACACCGAATTGTCGGTGAATTTCAGCTCAGAATCGCCAAGTGTGCACTAGAACTGCTTGGATCGAAGCGTTATCAGACTGAATTTGGATGATTATGTTAATGTCTCAAACAACTTGGGGATAACAGATTACTGTACACCATGCCCTGACTTTTTATATACAATTAGAAATGTCATCTGTCAAACTACCGTCATTTATACAATTTAATAAATTTTTCAGATGCTTATCACAGTACACTTCTCAAGGTGAATGCGAAAGGCATCCCTACACAGTGGTTACAAAAGATCTCAATAAGTCATTCTTTTTTTCACAGTGGGCAAATATAGTTGTCGCAGTTGAAGTCAGATAGTTTCTTCAAACATTAGACGTGAAGTATACTATTCTTGTAGCTGGTTCACTAATCCGTCCACAACCTGACAAAAAACCTAGTCAGTTCCTCGAGGGTTAGGTTTTTGACGCTTACACTGTTTTTGTGAAGTATGATACAGCTAATATTTAGTTGTAACTGATGTGCCTACAATTGTCACATACAGTACACTGACTCTATTCCTCAGACAGGTACGATCAAAGCCTCGTTTCATAATGATAAAACGCTGATTTTTCCATACCTACCATAATAAAGTAGTCAGTCGTCTCATCCTTTACCTCCGTTTTTAAAGTTAGCCAGGTTACTCATGACATCTTATAGGTAGTGCCGACCTACCAGAACTATCTCTGATTACCCGATATTACGTAGTATTTTAGTTAACCCAGACGACAGTTTGTCATCACCATCCTTCAACACCTTAGGAGTCATTCCATCAGGTCTTGCAGTGAATCTGTTCTGTTATTCCTGAGACTGGCATGAATATGTTGACTAACTTCAGCAGAGTAGTTTCGTAATAATAAAAGGTGGTAACTACAGTATTAATAATGATACTCAGTAAAATGTATTCATCGTCCATGAATTGTGAAGGACGCATTCAACTTTAAAACTTAGATGTTTCTTCATAATTAGGAGTTTAAAGTGGTTCTGATTAAGAAGTCAGTTTTGCTGTGGATACCAGTAAACAGCTGTTTATGGTTTAGTGACTGGTTCCATTTAATCTGTGTGAATATTTCCATATTGTTGTGAAAGATCACTATAATTATTATTGCAGAAAGTTGCAGTGGTGTCCAAACACTCGTATCATATGGGAATGTAAGCTAAATCCTTAGGTATATTTAATTCTACTGGGACTAAAGCCGATATTTGGATTCCCGATCATCCCATCCTATGTCAGTAAAAATAGAATTGGTGTGTTGCTTAAGTAATAGGGCACAAAAACTAAGTAGTACCGAGGAAAATCGAAGACAGGAAGTGAGGCGCATAAGAGTAGCTTTGAAACTTGTTAATTATGCAGATAAATTAATCAGGAAGTATGCAGGAAAATGTAAAAATAAAATTAATAATGATAGTAGTGATAGTGGTAATTCTGGTAATATTAATGGCGACATGCATCTGAAACATGCACAGGATAATGACAACATCAACAATAGGGAATATAAATCATCAGTAGTACTTCCATACGAAAAAGGAACTTCGAAAACCTTACGCGGAATTCTTAACAGTGTCAGAATAAAAATGGTATTCAAACCCGCAAACTCAATTAGAAACAAGCTTTGTCGGTTAAAGGATCAATACAGTGGAGCCAGTTAAACAATATTTTATCTGAAACCCTGCCTGCAGTGATTGTCTTAGTGTTTTCAGGTACGTCCGTTAAAAAAATCAGTCCTTTCCCTCTAATGAAGTGGTGTTTATATTTTATGATAGAATTGAAACTTCCGGATATCTGATGATTTCTCCCTGGGTTACATAGAATCTATGATCTACCGTTTATCAGTGAGGAGGACAGTATGTATTCTTATTTCAAGCAGTCTACACTATAAGAAATTCCACTATCATCTACTAATGTAATTTTGGCCAAAGAATCACCTCAGTTTGGGGTCCAAGATACTACCTACATCCCATGGAGCTTTAGGAACATAAGTCATTCCATATCAAAAACAATCGGTGTTTACTGTCAGATTTCCAATGTCATAAAAATAAAGAGACATCCAGATGAATTCAATTAAAACAAAGTAACATTTTGTGAGAAAAAGCACCTTTTTGTTGATTGGATACTAGTCAGTAACTAGTGTAATGTATCTAGTCCTATCTTTGGTGCAGACTGGATTCTATCAGCCAAGTTTGCAATATGGCCGCCATGCTAGGTGGCTCGCCATCACGCGGTGCACTTTGAATTTTTGCAATCTGTAGGAAGCCTTGAACATAGGTTTCGTGCTAGTTGGCAACCGTCAGCAATGCGTGTCTGCAACCTTGAAGAGGCATAAGTTCCTTCAAGACTGCAGATATCAGTTGGTAAATTTTGTTTATGTCGATGTGTCTATTGATTGATGACTCACTGGAATACCAGGCTTCTAAAAATTCTCTAGCATTTTAGTGTTTCTTCTGTCTAATATTTGAACATTGTCCCAATCGAAATGATGTCCGTGATTGTCTGTATGCAGCGATATGAGCGAGGGAGTGGATGTCATGTCTTTTGATGGCTAGTTTATGTTCATGGATACGAAGACGAAGGGACGTCCACTTTGGCCAATGTAGTGTTTTTCGCAGTTGTTACAATTTATTTTGTAGATTATGTTGGTTTCATCTTCTTTCGCTGTTGAGTCCTTTGGTTGACACAGTTGGGTGAAGTGATTTTGTTGGTTTGTGTGAGATATCAATTTATTAAGGTTTGAAGAGTCTTGTGGAGATTTCTGAGAAGTCCTTTAAATACGGTAGAGCGCCTTTCATGGTATTTTTCTTGGGAGCCTTTGATTTGATAGGTTGGTTTGGGGGTATATGTCTTTTGATGAAGCTCCGTGGATACCCATTCTTTTGGAAGACGTCCATGATATGGCTTCCTTCAGTTTTCTTTAAAGTGGGAGTGCTGCAATGAGTTCCGGTTGGCCCTCTTGAACAGTGTTTGCATACAACTCCTTTTGTGTGTCATTGGATTGTTGCTGTTGTAATTCAGTATTCGATCTGTGTGAGTTGGTTTTCTACAAACTTGAGTTTCTAATTCCCCTGTGGTTGTTCGCTTGACTAAGACGTCCAAAAATGGGATTTTTTCTCAGATTCCTCTTCTCTTGTGAGTTTGATATCTCTGAAAAGGCTGTTTATTCAGTTGTGAGTTTTGTTCAAGTTGTT